CGATTATTTACAGACCGCCGTCATATAGCTGGAATATTGCTGAGTGCGGCGTTTAACAACATACCAACCGACCAACCAAATCAAGATTAGACTACTTGCATGTGCCTGATGGTCAGTTTCGACAATCCACAACATCTACTGCCAAATACAGATGCAGATGGCTGTACCTGGCCTTCTGTGGTAGCATCATTTAGAAACTCTTTTTTTCAACGAACAAGACTGGGATACAAAATGCAAGACAAAGTTGGATGATTGTTTCTTCAAATATTTCCTGAATTGACTGATTTGTCAATTTAAATATTGACAAAATTGCAACTATACAACAATTGTACCTGAATGGACTTGATACCCACATGTAGAATATTAGAAATTATTGTAAATACTCTTTTACTGTACTATTTAATTGATTTATTGTTGAATCTTTTCACATGTTCTATAGCATAGCTACTGAAAAACTTTCAAAGAGAACTGATATCAGGTCAATATTACAGGATTCAGTAACATACAGCAATACAATTAACCCATATAAATAACAAACACATGAAGTAGAATAAATACAAATTTATTTTCAATTTGTTGTGTATTAACAACAGTGTAATAACAATAGACACACTGGCAGTAGGAAAGCACTGTATTAATTACTGATAAATAACAATCCAATTTTCAGGATACAGATTGCAATTACTTCTCAGAGTGTATAATGGGTACACATTTTTGAAAATTAAAAATTTCATCTTCAGAATTAAATTACAAATGTTTTACCCAGGGGAGATAACTTCCATCAGCATATAACGTCTCACATTTTTCCTTTCATCCATGATTAAGAAATGGTAAGCAATAAAAGCAAAATGTGTGGACCCAGCTTACCAATGTATTGCAAATCAAAGCAGGAAAAACATTCGTGTCTCAACATGATTAATGCTTTGCAGCATTAATAGACAAGCATCATAAAAGGCTAGAAGATCTGAAAATACATGTCATACTGCCAGCAAAATGCAGTGTTTCATCTTCATAAGCCTATTATTATTCATAATTAAAGTTTTCTAACTGCAGGTAGCAGAAAGATTGCTGACATTAAGCAACAATTCACTCACACAATATCGCAAGCTACAGTCAAGTCTGATTCTACAATACATAATCTGCTGACACAGTCTGAGTACATGTAATAATACTTCATAGCAATTGTTAATCTGTGATACAAAAAATAAAATCTGTCATAAATTAGTCATGATCAGATAAATTACAACAATTACAACTGGTTTCATTTTCCTTTTTCTATTAGTGAAAATATCAACAATTCATAATGTATCACAGGCTGTCTCCCCTTACACCACATTATAATCTCTTACCTATAAATGAAATTCTTCAGATTCCCAACCAAAGTCTTTTCAAATACGAAAGATGGAATCATCTATTTTATCAAGTTGAACTTGAACAACCCATACGTTACAACTCACAAGTTATTGTGACATTTTCATTAATATGATTAATACTCATCTAAACCCATCAATGTATTACAACAGTCTGTTATCTCCGACTTTCTATTACAGAAGAAATTCATTAACAATATATGTCTACCTCTTTTTGTGGTAGTACCCTTGGGCAAGGTATTACTCATACTTGGGGTGATATTCAATGAGTACAAGAGTACATGTACAGCTACTCAATATCACATAAATGAAATGTTGGGGAAACTGCTGTTAAAACAATCAGATATCAACATTTGATCTGCAAGGCTAAGAGCTGTACCATGCTGGATATTGCTTGTCTCATTCGGCTATAAGGGGCCTTCTAAACAGATTCGCTGTGCAGAGTTGCGTCCCTTGGGCACGCCAGAAACCTATGATTGTGGGTTCGAATCCCTGTTCGCCCAGATTATGTTTCTAGGTTTGTCAGCACCATACCCGTGCTCGTGGGTTTCACCGAAGTGGTAAACGTCTAAGACCTGCATTACTTTGGGCTTTCCTCCCACATTAAGCTGACACGCCGCGATATAACTGGAATAGTGTTAAAAGCGGCGTTAAACCCAACTCACTCACTCACTCTTGTTTTACAGTCCCATTTGCAATTACAGCAGATGATGTCCAGGACTGCTGAAAGTGTTGCAGGCTGATCTGTCTGTATTTGTAAGCAACGTCCATCTGTCCTGTGTCATCCCCACCCTGATGGATTCATATTGAATCCTTTCCACTCCATTATCTGGTAGTTGACATGGGGGCTGTGGCTACAGAGGTTGCAATGGCGGCAGTGTTGGTGGCTTACCTGTGGTAGGTTCTTTGTCACCTTCTCTCAAAATCACTTGTGCCTTAAGCTATCCAGTCCTTCCTCCTAACATCACATAAAGGCGCAAGTTAATGTTCGCCTGTTTTGTATATGTACAGAAGTGCACCCAGATCTATCCAGTTAGTCACCCAGACGTGCAATAAAGTGCTGTTTGTTTTTTGCGTTGTTCATGAATGCTTCCTTCTTCGATCGAATGACCATTTCCTGTGAAATAAACTGTCACTCCACTACAGTACTGTTCTTACTTGAACTACCAGCACTGTTCAAGTAAGAACTCTGTAGTGACCCGTCAGCATTGTTGGAATTATCTGCAGGCCAGGAAGGCAACCCTTGCTGATGCTATCTGGAAAACCCTCCAAGTTAAACAACAAGAACCTGGAAATGTCCAGTTCATTCTTGATGGTAGTGCTATACTTCATGGGCTACCCCGACCAAGAGGTTCTACGTTATATCACATATTTGAACTACAGTGTATATACCATCTATATGTTGTGCAGAAATATACTGCTAACATTGTCTTGTATGGCCAATGGCTTCATGGCTTTCAACGAAAGATGCCACACACATGAGAAGAACAGGTGCCTGTTCTGGTAAGACAGATTTTTTCACAGGGGAAATGGTCATTCGATCGTAGAAGGAGGAATTCTTGAACAAAGCAAAAATCAAACAGCGTTTTATTGCCTATCTGAGTGACAAACTGGAGAAGCTGGCAAAACAAGACGCTGTCACATCTGCAAAAAAACAGACACAGATTTGCTTATCCTCCTTCCTCATCATGTTGAAAAGGAAGCACATAATTTTCTGGCACCAGAACCCAAGCAAGCTTCAATTAAGTAGGAATAGGATTTGATGCATGATCAATCAAAGCGGCTGCTGGGCAGTGATGTATGTGAGCATGTGCTCTTTTTACATGCAATTCTTGGCACCACTTCTCGACTGTGTGGCTTGGGAAAGGGTCTAGCAGTGAAGAAAATCATGAATGATGCCTTCTTCTGCCATCAGGCTAAACATTTCAGCCAAACAGGGAAACTGGGGATGAAATAGTCATCACCGAAGCAGGTGAACATATGTCTTTATATGGCGGATATAAGGTGGAAGGACTGCATAGCTTATGATACGAGCGATTTTTGGGAGAAGGTGGCGAATAATTGATCACATGCAGAGCCATAAACTCTGCAGTCGCAAGATACCACAACCCCCATGTCAACTACCTAATAAAGGAGTTGAAAGGGTCCAATGTGAATCCATTTGAGCGGGGATGGCACAGGACAGATGGACGTTGCTTATCAGCACAGTCAGATCAGACTGCAGCACCTTCAGCGCTCCTTGATATTATCTGCTGTAATTTCAAAGAAAGACTGTAACACGCGAAGATGCACTTGGCGGAAATATGGTCTCACTTGCAATGTTGTGTGCAGGGAATACCATGGTACAAGCTGTACCAATAAGCAGTTACCAGACTTCTTGGGGGATGACAAACCTGTTGAGACTTTCGAGGTACATGTATATATGACCCTGCAACGTCAAGCTGCAGCATTCACTGTGACATTTATTCCACTGTTCATCAAGTAATAATGTTCATGGATCACACAATCATGTGACGGAATGCGCAGTGGATATGAAGTTTCAGATTTAAATTCAAATATTTGTATTTGGTGGTTATATTGAATTTCTGAAATTCTGAGAGGACCTCATATAGGTCATCCTTGTTTCCAACAAGTATTTACAGGAATGAAAACGAAACTTGTTATAGCATTTATTGTCATGTTAATAAGTAGATTCAGACAATAACAATCAACATTGATATCTAAACTCGCCAAAACATTTCATTTAAGAGATAAATATTGATATTTGGTGGTCATATTGGATGTATCCAAATGATTGAGTATTCTACATACAACCTTGGGTCTGTTTACCCCAATGTAGAAGTTCAAATCACTCAAATATGTCATCAGAGACCAACAGTGTCTTGACATTCTATGTCTAGCCATCAAACTCTTGGCGGCCATCTTGGAATGGAATGTTTGGCCACCAGGGGGCTCTGGTGACGGAATTTCTTATCTAAAAGTGTTAACTATACTTCAGTGAGTTAGTGTGCCAAGTTATATGCATATAAGCCCTAGCACACTGTTTTAGAGATAAACGATTCAACAGTGTAAACACACATTTAGGAAACTTGGCGGCCATCTTGAAATTGGCGGCCATCTTGATTTTTTGCAGATTTGTCAATAATCGAAAACGTTCAGGAGTTGTGAATATCTTTTTAGAAACATAACATGGATATTTGGCAGGACAACACATGTTTTTTCCATCAAAACATTGACCCTCATCTGACATATGCAAGATATATTGATAATTGGTGGCCATATTGGATTATGCAAATTAGACATATTTCCCAAACTGGGATTGCTTGGGACTTTTAATATGTTGTTTTTGGGACCTTGTAGAAATGCATTGTGGTAAAATAAATTCTGTTGCAATTTGTTCCAAGTTTAGTGAAAAAATGGCCTAGATTGCCTGGACTATAGCTCTTCATTGAAAACACAGTATGTTTATCTCCTAATTCAGTGGTCTGGGGTGCGTGAACGTTCAATCTCATTAAGATCAGATCTTAGTTCTCGCTACCGATAAACAAAGCTTTGATTAATGCAGCGAGAACTAAGATATGATTGTAACGAGATTGGTGAAATTTTTAATTTCGCGCCGGGCCTCGTTTTCGAGTGACCTAGTTTCAAGCTTACGAGAGGAGAATATTTTCGTTAGCGCAGTTTTCGATAAGAAAGCGCCCAGTGTGTCTTCATTTAGGACTGGGAGAAGATATCTAAGGCAAGTGGAAGACGTGTGCCACGGATCCATTACACGGGCATTTCACTTTTGTGTCAAGTTTTGTAAAAATAGCTTGGATTGTTCTGGGCTAGACCTAGGCCTTGCCTGTATATTTACTTCCGCATTGGAGCGTCAGTAAACGAGACATCCATCAAGCCGCGTCATGTCGCTCGAACGGGTTCACACTCCTGCTCTTCTCGACTTCCACTACTTCGATGACATCTTCGAAGACGCTCACCGAGAAGTTGCAAAAATGCACCAAGACATGCGATCAGCGATGCTTCGTCTTACACCGCCGAACCAGCTGATTGAAGGCAATAATTCACACACGCAAAGGCTGGAGGCATTTATGAAACCAGTTGTCACTAACGAGGACGGCAGTCGGGAATTTCTGCTCAAACTGGATGTCAGTACATTTAAACCAGAAGAAATTCAAGTGAAAACGGACGGAAATGAACTCTCAATCGAAGCCAAACATGAGGATAAGAATGACACTTCCCGAGTATTTCATCAATTCTCCCGCCATTATACTCTGCCTGAGGGCATAGTGACCGAAGCACTAGCCTCGACTTTATCTAAAGATGGCGTCCTGACGATCAAAGCCCCCTTTATTGCCGACAACGCTATCGAGGGACCACCGTCCAAGAAACCAGCCCTTGAGAACCAGTGAACGGCGAGCGAATAAACATTGAACGATTATTAAATTTTATGGAACGGCTATTTAATTTTTTGCGGCCACATATATTGCCGACAATACAGTTAGCTACTTTAGGTATGTTATCCATGATACGGTACAATTTAATGGAAGTGAAGTTATCTTTCAGTCATTTTCGCTTCTTTTAGTCTTGCCAGCTATAGAGGCACGCACTAAGTATGTATACTTGCTTTTTGCCCTTTGATGGTTGGTATATTTCATTTTTCCAGTTTAAAGAAGAATGCAAGTTTAAACTTGTTTTTACGGTGCACGTGATATTGTGATTTATTGTCACCAATATTACCTGTATGTTTGTAAAAAGTTTGTTGTTGACGTACATGGGCATAGTTCATGGGCGGATACGGGGGGGGGGGGGGGGGGGGGGTGTCCCCCCCTTTTTATTTCGAAAAAAATCTTTATTTCAGTATAAATTACCACCAAAGACAATAAATAGATCTTAATTGTGCTCCCCCCCTTTTCAATAAAGCTGTATCCGCCTATGTAGTTCATGGCTAGATTCAGCTTTTTTATATCTAGTTAACATTTCTATGTTTACTTTGAACCTGCATGGGGATCCATGCTGGTGCTTGTTTATTTCCTTTTTAAAACTGTTCAACTTAATGTCACTAAAGTACACACGGAAATGAAAAAAACCCTGTTTTTTCGATCTCAGATTTTAAATAAATGCAGTTAATATACAAAATATATAAATATTCAAACAACTCAATTAGTACTAATTGGGCCTTGGCACAAATACAGCGTATCAAAGGTTTTTATGTCTTTTTACACGTAAAAGTGTGTAAAAATATGAACAAAACAGACTATTGTGAAACTGAGCATAACCAGGTGTTAGTAGATGAAGGTGAATGTCCATGACCTATGACACCTTGACGACAGGTGAAAACAGGTGCTTGAAACCCACGTGCATGTGATTTGTCAGTGGTTAGTGATTTGTGAGTGGCATTGTGGGATAGTGAATCATCGTCAAAATATCAGAACGTAAAAGTAACATATTCCCTTCTCAAACAACAACTTACATGTCATTATTATTATGTACATAAACAAAGCTGTTATTTTTATTGTTGAACTTTTTTTCAAACTGATTTGCAAAATGCCTATAGCCTGTTTCTGCCAGTCAATTTGGTTTTAGTTTTGAATGTTGAAAGTGCCTACAAATTACCTCCTGTAAAATACATTTTGTATTGAGCACTGAGATAAAACTAGCAAATCCAGACTAGTACTTTTCCAGTTGTTTTGTTATTTCGTATTTACATCTACGTAATGCTTTGTGTCGATTATTAAATCCAGCAAAACAGGTTTTTTTATTTCCATGAGTACTTTAAGATTTATGTGATTGGAGATGTGGCATAATTTTCATATGTTCAGAATTAAAGTTTTTGACCAAGCATTGCTTCGGTTTGTTTGTTTGTTGTTAAACGCCGCATTCAGCCATATTCAAGCGAAATGACGGTGGTTTGTGAATAATATATATGAGCATCGATCTACGCAACTGGGATACCATGACATGCATCAACCAAGTTATCGAGCCTAATCACCCGATCCCGTTTGTGGCCTCTTACGACAGGCTTTGGTTGCTGATTCCAACCCGAATCTTCACGGGTCTAAACATAATGGTACGTGTTTCAAGCTGTCTTAGCAGGCACAGTACTGGGAGACAAGTGCACGTCACTTGGCGTTTTGCATTGCAATTAGCCCCTTACTGTGCCAATTTTAGAGATTGATGTATGTGCTGCTTCAAGTGTTATTTTATAAACACATATGTTGGTGATGAACGTGTCTCTCACAAGATTGGCGTTACCTCCCCTATATGCACCACAGTATAACCACCATGGACTATACCACAACTAAATGCGCCCCTAATATATTGCATTTGTCTCATATTTAGAATAAGTACTTACATTAAGGATTTATAATGAATTTTGAGTACCGCAATGTCGGTAATCTGTGCAAGGTTAACTCGTTTTTTTTGTTTTTTGTTTTGTTTGTTGTTTAACGCCACACCCAGCAATATATTAGCTATATTAGCGGTCAGAAAATAATCGAGTGTGGACCAGACAATCCAGTGGTTGATATCATGAGCATTGATCCACACACTTGGGATACGATGACATGCATCAACCAAGTCAGCGAGCCTGACCAGAAACACGTGGGCCGGATATGGCACAAACAAACCAAAAATAGTACTCGGAGATTCGAAGTATGTGATCAGAGGTCTAACGAGTGTAGATCAAACTTAACCAAGTCTAGTTTCCTTGATCCCACACAGCAGAGGATGAAAGGATGTTGTTTTTATGAAACAAATTACAATTATTTTAAAGTGACATTGTAAATATTCAAAGACTAAGAGTTGGTCTCGTGGAATAACATTGGAATAGCTAAATTCAGCTACATCCGTTCGAAAGTTCCGTCACATTATGATGTCTTTTACTTCGGTTTTATATTTCGAGGTTATGATATAGCAGCTTTCATATACCTCACATCAACCTGAGACCCCAATATAGGTGGGGAGGGAAGAGTGAGTGAGTTGGGTTTAACGCCGCTTTTAACAGTATTCTAGTTATATCACGGCGTGTCAGCTTAATGTGGGAGGAAAGCCCCGACGTGACGTTTGATTTTTGCTTTGTTCAAGAATTCCTCCTTCTACGATCGAATGACCATTTCCCCTGTGAAATAATCTGTCTTACCAGAACAGGCACCTGTTCTTCTCATGTGTGTGGCATCTTTCGTTGAAAGCCATGAAGCCATTGGCCATACAAGACAATGTTAGCAGTATGTTTCTGCACAACATATAGATGGTATATACACTGTAGTTCAAATACGTGATATAACGTAGAACCTCTTGGTCGGGGTAGCCCATGAAGTATAGCACTACCATCAAGAATGAACTGGACATTTCCAGGTTCTTGTTGTTTAACTTGGAGGGTTTTCCAGATAGCATCAGCAAGGGTTGCCTTCCTGGCCTGCAGATAATTCAAACAATGCTGACGGGTTACTACAGAGTTCTTACTTGAACAGTGCTGGTAGTTCAAGTAAGAACAGTACTGTAGTGGAGTGACAGTTTATTTCACAGGAAATGGTCATTCGATCGAAGAAGGAAGCATTCATGAACAACGCAAAAAACAAACAGCACTTTATTGCACGTCTGGGTGACTAACTGGATAGATCTGGGTGCACTTCTGTACATATACAAAACAGGCGAACATTAACTTGCGCCTTTATGTGATGTTAGGAGGAAGGACTGGATAGCTTAAGGCACAAGTGATTTTGAGAGAAGGTGACAAAGAACCTACCACAGGTAAGCCACCAACACTGCCGCCATTGCAACCTCTGTAGCCACAGCCCCCATGTCAACTACCAGATAATGGAGTGGAAAGGATTCAATATGAATCCATCAGGGTGGGGATGACACAGGACAGATGGACGTTGCTTACAAATACAGACAGATCAGCCTGCAACACTTTCAGCAGTCCTGGACATCATCTGCTGTAATTGCAAATGGGACTGTAAAACAAGAGTGAGTGAGTGAGTTGGGTTTAACGCCGCTTTTAACACTATTCCAGTTATATCGCGGCGTGTCAGCTTAATGTGGGAGGAAAGCCCAAAGTAATGCAGGTCTTAGACGTTTACCACTTCGGTGAAATCCACGAGCACGGATATGGTGCTGACCAACCTAGAAATATAATCGGGTCGAACCGGGATTCGAACCCACAATCACAGGTTTCTGGCGTGCCCGAGGGACGCAACTCTGCACAACGAATCGCGGCGCCTTAGTCGACTGGGCCACCTGTGCCCCCGGGGAGGGAAGATATGGGCTATGGTGTGAAAACTGCCATAAAATAGCTCGGGTTATTGCACCCTCAGTGATATGACTGTGTCCATGTTGTGCAAAATGCCTCATATCACTGATAGGTATATATGATAAAACTGTAAAATGCACACCAGGGTGCCGTTGTACAAAACCACCAGAGCGCCACGAATGTCGTGAGTCTATGCTAAGGTATAGGAGTTACGATCACCAAAGCGCTGAGATCGCTTTGTAGAACGGCACCCAGATCTGTATATATTTGTCCAACAGGTTCGAAATAGCCGAGTTCAGATTTTACGACCGCTTCTCTGATTCCACGTGCATATGGTTGTGATTGATGAGGATGCTCTTCCTTAAAGGAAATCTAGAGATCTGCCTATAGTCCTCGCCCCTTGAAATATAACCAGGAAATATCACGATGATTAATTAACGAAGTATGCCTGTGTGCTGTTACTTATAAAGTGTAGATTCCAGTGATGAAAAACATTGGAAAGTGCGCTTTTCATGAAATGTCCATTTTCTTTGAGATAAACATCATCAAATTGAGTTTTGATCACGTGGTTACATATATTTTATATTTTTATAGATCATGTCTGTGTGATTATCATATTGTTTTGAAAAATCTCAATCAAATGACACCTTATTGGTACATGATTGTTGCTTATGAAGTGATTATGTAAAATCCTTATTTTCAAATATGTCTAACCATCCGATTTATCAACTTTGTACACCACTATCACACACATCAAACTTAAGGAAAACCCCTTGATCCATGGGGCATCTGTCATTTAACGTGGCGACTATATTTGTAGCTGCATCTCTATCTTCAAGGTTCAAGACAATTTGTCGAAAATTAAATTTGAAGTTTACTGAGTGAGTGAGTATTGTTTTACGCCGCTTTTAGCAATATTCCAGCAATATCACGGCGGGGGACACCAGAAATGGGCTTCACACATTGTACCCATGTCGGGAATCGAACCCGGGTTTTTGGCGTGACGTGCGAACGCTTTAACCAACTAGGCTAACCGACCGCCCCTGAAGTTTACTGAGGACTTCCTCACTGATCCATGTTATATATTGGGATTTGACATTGGGGCAAGACGTCAGCATCCCCATGGGCAGCAATGTGTGTTCGCTCCTTGTCGTTTCTTTATGCTTACGAATCGGAATTTCTCCTCGGATTGGCAAAATTTGGTCAAGTAGTTTAACTTTAGCTTCATATATATCGATGATCTGATATCCTCCAATGATTGTCAAATAGCCAAGCCCCTTTCACTGATTTACCCACCTAAACTTAAAGTATAAGAGAGCATTGGAACTACCTCATCTGTTTCATATTTAGATCTATGCATACAGATTCAGAGTGACAACAAACTCTCCACAAGACTGTATCACAATAAGCAAGGCTTCAACTTTCCCGTCGAGAAATATTGATACAGGTTTGTGCTTCAATTGCAAAACCATTGAGTTATATGTTTAATCAATCTGCATCATTGTACTTGTCCATGCACACAAGCGGGAAGAAGCCCATGTGTACTTCTGTTCAAGGA